AAGGGAAGGAGGGAGGGGGGGGAGGGAGGGGAAGAGCAAGCAGGAGGGGGAAGGAGTGGGCCAGCATCCCAATAGAACAGACCAGTAGTGGTGGTCCTGGGGGGCTTCCTGGCCTCTTCTGAATCACTCCGTAGTCCTCTGAAGAGAGTGCTAGAAAAGTCCAAACAGCCACGCATGTGCATGTGTGCTCTGTGTGTGTGTGTATGTGTGTGTGTGTTCATCTTCACTTCTTCAAAGAAAAAACCTCAGCAAGTAGCTATTGGAGGAGCTGCTCTCTCTCTCACACCATGATGTTCCTTGCTCCCACCAGCCATGTCAATGGCTGAGGAATGTCTAAGCAGGGTCTGCAGAGGGAGTCAGTCCAAAGAGACCACCGGTGGCCTTATTCGGCCCTCCCCTGGTTAGCACCTCGGCCCTCTCCAGCCTCTCTGGCTGCCCCTGATCCCCTTTCGCCTCCAACAACCCAAGTTTCAAGGCCCCAGTCAAACGGATGCAAGTGCCAGGATGATCAAAGCCAGGGGTGGGGTAGGGGTTGTTCAGCCCCACAGCCCAGCCATGGCATCTGTGGAGCCAGTACTCACAGCTCGAGAAGACGAGAGGGCAGGAATGTGTATCCATTGGGAAGTTCTGCAGCTGGAGCAGACACTCAGCCTCAATGGTCAACCTGGAAGAGGAACGAAGGGAGGCATGAGGGCGTCTTGGGCATGAGCTGGACCCATGACCAGGCCACCCGACTCAGTGGCTTAGCCAGAGCAACACCTTGTCCATCTCTCGAATGAGGTTTGACACAAGCACTCACGCACACATGCACAGGAACACACATGGCTGGGAGGCCGCTGAGGCCCACTCCCAAAGCCATGCCGCCCCTTCCTGGCATGTTCCAGATGCCTGGCTTCTCCCACCTCCCTTCCCCCTTTTTGATCCCCAAATCCCAAGGAGTACCCAGGGCTGGCAGGAATGTTGGCCTGTGGGCAGGAACCCATCGGGCACACTCCAATAAGCGGGGGGGGGGGCAGCCCATGTGGGATGTTCCACCCCCACCCCCTTCCCGAATACACTCTGCTTCCTCTTGCTCCCAGCCCCTGCCCCCACGCCTCCGGCGAGTGCTTTGTCTCTGCCTGTTGGATGACTGCCTAGAATCACCTGAGCGTGTAGAGCACCTTCCCGTCATTCCAGATCCGGAGGAGCTGGTTGGGGGTGGTGATCCAGTGGGAGTCGGCCCGCTTCGAGTTCCTGAAGAAAGTGTCTGGGATCCAGACCCGGCTCACCATGTTCGTGTTGAGAGTCAGAGCTTTGAGGGTGCTGTTGAAGCGAAGGCGCCGGTCGTACCACGTCTGGGCAAAGAAGATGTCAATGGTGTACTCCTGCAAGAGGCGCAGAGGAGAGACAGGGGCTGACACGGTCTCCAAGACCGACCCTTCCTGGCAGACCTGCCAGCCTTTGGCTGACCTCTCTTGCCAAGGCTTGGACGAAGGAAGGGCAGTGGCACCATGCATGCGCCCCTTTCCCTTTCCAGTCCCAGTGTCTCAGCTTGATGGTCATCTCCAGGGACCGGATCCAGAAGAGAGGAAATCGCCTGAGGCCAAGTCAGCCTGCAGATCCATAGCCCTTGCCTACTGGGGTGGGTCAACAGTTGTGTGGCCCTCCAGGGCTTCCAGAAGGGCGCCGTCCAGCCCTGCTGGGTCCAAATCCAGGATTTCCTGGGGGTGGGAGCAAAACCAGCCTTTCCCTCTGGACTCCTTGGTAGCTCTTATGGATCCTTCAAAGCCCCTCTTAAATGCAATTCAAAATGTTTTTAAATTGTGGTTTTAATATGGATAAATATTGTTTTTAGCACAGTTTCTATAGTATTCTAAGACAGACAGACAGACAGACAGACAGACAGACAGATAGATAGATAGATAGATAGATAGATAGATAGATAGATAGATAGATAGATAGATAGATAGATAGATAGATAGATAGATAGATAGATAGATCGATGGATCGATGGATCGATGGATCGATGGATCGATGGATCGATGGAGGGAGAGTGAAAGTGGGGCATTTGCCCCACAAGCACCAGCCAGCAGTTTGGTGCTTCCAACACTTTGTGGACAGAGCACATGTTTCTAGGGCAACACATTTATATTCAAAAAGCACATTTACTGATGACGGAAACAGTTGTATTTGACTGTTTCACTGGCATGTTATATTCTACTGGTAGCTGTTTTCATTTAATGAAAAGGCAGGATACAAATTAAAGAGAGAAAGAATATGCAGGCACATTCAGACACAATTTCCACATCATTACAAACGGGCCCCCACCCCGCCCCAGGGAGTTTGCACAGGATTGTAGCCTTAGGCAAAGAGAGCCGGAGACCCAATACGCTGTCAGGCACATGCCTCTTTTAAATCAGGGGACAGATTTTTCTGAACTGCTTGCCAGCTCTGTTGAAAAATATCTGCTTCCCAGAGGGGGTGGAGGTGGGGTGGGGTGGCGGAGGGCATCAAGCAGTCCACCCTGAAAGCATCCCTGCCCCTGCTTTTGGCTGCCAGAAGGGAGCCTGTGCTGTCACAACAGAGGAAGTGGGGGCTGCAGAAAGCCCTCAAGGAGCCCCACCACCGCAAGGGGGCCATGACCTGCTCTGTCTGTCTCAGAAGGGGCAGCTTCTGAGACACACGGATAGGAGGAGGGGAGGCTGACCTGCCGGGCTGGGATCGGAGAAAGACGGGTGTGAGGAAGACAGAAACAGACCCACTGATTCCAGACTGAGGGAGGAAGGAACAGGGAGGCGGGCGGGGAGAAGGTTTGTTTGTTTGCTCATTTGCATTCAGTTACATTCTACATTTGAAAATGTCTAGTTTATGAAAGATTAGACATTTTGTCAACGAACAAAAGTTTTTAACCTTGCCTTCCAACTGAACTGTCATTGCCTGGGATCTGTCCCAAATAGGGTGTTTGTGGGTAGGAGTGACTGGGGGGGGGTGTGTGGAGGGGGAGAGAGAGGAGAGAGGGAGAGCATACACCTTGGCTTAGAAGAAGAGAAATCTTGGCTTGGTCTCCAAATAGCAGCTTAGGTAATTGCTCCAACAAGCTGCACACAGCCCCACATGGGTTGTTCTGATTTATTTAAATGACTGACTCCCTGCCTTTGGAATCCTGTCAGACACCTCACAACTCCAAGGGCAAGGCAAATGCAGCCCCGACTTAAAATGAGTCTGCCATGCAAAGTCAACCAAGGCCCCTGACCTCTGGGGCAGAATAATTCAGATGTGCCAGCTGGGAGGTGCTCTAACCATAAAGAGAGGAAAGGCGGCTTCTGGGGCATCCAGATGAGAGCAAAACCACCTTTCCTCCCTCAGAATAAAAGGGAGCCATGTATTTATTACAAAATGCAAAAACAAGAGTAGGCAATACCTTTGCAGACCACTAAAAAAATCATCACACAATCTGCGAGCTTTCATGAATCAGGACCACTTCGTCAGGCAAGTACCAGTGAAGAAGCTCCATGAGCAGAACAGTTCTGGAGCCTGGACAGTCCCATTGCCATGGCTGCTGCCAGGTAGCAGAAGGTACCCTGTGTTTGCCATGTGAAAGCACCGGTCTTGTGGGAAGGGGCTGCAATGGTAGTTCTCCTCCTGCTACCATTGAGGGTAGGGGTCAGTTTTGTCAGAAGATTTGTCTGGAGTAGAAGCATCACCTCTTTGCCCCATTTGTCAAGAAACATTCCAGAGGGGCACCTGGAAGGAGTGCAGTTTGTGTCTGTCCTTTGCTTTCTCCTGCAATGAGCAAAATTGGCTACTCTCAAATCACTTCTAAAGGTGGGCCAGTAGTGGTGGGGACTCCCAAGAGCTCCACTGAAGAGGGACCCACAGTGCCTCCAGAAGTGAGCCAACCTGAGGCCTTTCTGGACAAGCCCAAGCTTCTGTGTTAGCATTTATCCACTGCCCTGGAGGCACACAGCCAAAGGAAGGGTCAGGCTAGAAGCAAGACCTGTGCATTTTTTGTTATCCAGATGGGTAAAACCTCTCCAAAATGGCACAGCTGCAGATTCTGTCTGTGAGTTGACTACAGCCGTTAGCCAAACTCAACCAGAAGTTAACCGTGAAAAGTTCCAATCTCTCCAGATGTCAGAAGGCGAGCAGGGTCTGCTCTGGCTAATAACGTGGACAGGCAATCCTCTGGTAATCCCACGGATCTCTGCCAAAGATCTGCCATCCTGCCACCTGGACCACAGGGGAGGGTTTTTGGAGAGGGCTAGGAAGCAGCCCTGCCTGTGAACGCTCCCAGAGTCCCTGCTGCAAGATGGGGCAAGAGCTGGCCTCAGTAGCAGGCCTGTGAACGCTCCCAGAGTCCCTGCTGCCTATCAGAGCTGGCCACTCTGGGTAAGATGGGGCAAGAGCTGGGCTCAGTAGCAAGCAGCTGCCCAGTTCCCTAAGCCCTGAGCTGCAAACACAGATGGAGGTTGGAGGAAGCTGGTGGGGCTTGGGACCAGAGAGGGAGGCATGGTAGGAAAACATCCACACAGAAGGGGAGGGGGGCAGCAGAATGGGACAAACAAGGTGCATTGTAGGCGGTTGAAGGGAAGGTGGCCAAGGAGCAGACATGGGGAAACTTCCTTGGACCAGGTGTTAGGAAAGGTCCGATTCCCATGGCAGTGCCCATGCCAGCTGGCAAACAGTGGCAGCTGCTGTCTGAAAGAGTGCCCCTTCTGAGCAATGCCAAGGAAGAAATGAGGCCGTAGCAGAAGCCACCAAGTGGGGAGAGGGTTTGGTAGACCCTTCCCCCTTCGGACGCCCTCCCCTCTCTAGGTGCAGAACCCCTTGCTCCCCTGTGGCCTTTCCCCATCCTGCCCACAGAGGTCATCAAGACTCACCATGTGGATCACAGAGACGGGACCGATGCTGTTGACGTAGATGTCAACGTCAATAAAAGTCGGCTTGACTGGAAGAGAGACCCAAAGAAAGAGGGATCAACAAGGGGGTGAAGCAATAACAGGAGACACTTGGGATGGGCTGCTCTGATGGAGGGAAACTCTGCACCTCATTTTTTTCCTGTACATGCCGTACCTGTGCCCACAGCAACTTATGAGATCTAAAACAATCTGACTACACGGTCTAATAAAACTGAGTGGAAAATAAGCACAAACTGAGAGCAGCAACAGAAGCACAACTATTTTAAAAAGCCAAATGCCTGAGGTTTGGTTGTTTTTCTTTAGAAAGGCCACCTGTGGGAAGAAAGCAGCCTTCCTTCAAAGTGGCCACGGAAGGGGCTCAGTGAACCTTTCCCGTTCCAAGGAGCAGGGCCGCCTCTCTTTCTCTCCTGCCCAACAGATGTTCTCCTCGTCATCCTTCTTCTTTTACAAAGGCTTTGGGAGCAATTCCCACCTCCACCCCCCTCTCCACCAGGTCTCTGAGCCCTCCTCACCCAAAAGTAGCCCCTGCTCCTGCTGCTCTTGGTTTACAACAGGAGTGCAACCAACTTTGCCGAGTCTGCCCAAGCCAGAGTGCAATCTGTGCGTCTCCCTCACGGGGACTCCTTGCCTCTGGGCAGCCCTACCAGCAGCCCCCCCTCCCCTCGCGCAACCTCAAAAGGCGGAAAGCACTTACTGCCGATGTCTGGCCTCAGCTTGTTGTCATAGTTCCGGAGCAGAGAGTTGAGGATCTGCGTGGCATCTGTGTCCTGGGCTCTGGGGGTCAGGACCCATGTTTTGTTGGTGCTGAGGTAATCATAGTCATATTCCTCCACACTCTCAGCCCTGCAGAAAAATGGGGGGGGGGACCTAAGAAGACTGGCAGAGCCATTCATCCCATTGAATGCCTGATTTTTCTACCAGGAGTTGCCTGTTTAAAGATTACTATTTAGAAATTCCTGCATACTATTTGTAATTCTTCCACTCCTACCAGCCCCAACCTCTCTATTTTTACTCCCCTTGCCTGCTAAGCAACAAGGGTTAGTCTGTTCAACCTACACTGGGAGGTCCTTGCCATCCTCTGAAGACCTCTTGGCTGTTTTTAACAACCACCATTAAGATTCTCATCTGTTATGTTCAAGGACTGTTAATGAGCCACAATGAGCACTGACAAAACTGCCACCATTCTGGACCTTCTGAATTTCTTTTATTCTGCCCTGTGTGCATACGAGCCAAATGCCTGAGGTTTGGTTGTATAAAGGTCTGTCTACTGAGGAGATCATGAGAAGACAAGACTTGCTTGAAAAGACAATAATGCTGGGAAAAGTTGAAGGCAACAAGAAAACAGACAGACCAACTATGAAATGAATCGAGATTGAATCCATAAAGGAAACCACAGCCACAGTTTGCAGGACCTGACTGGGACTGTTCTAGACAGAACCTTTTGGAGGATATTAATTCAACACAAGTCAGAAGTGACTGACGGCACATAACAATACCCCCTGAGGTTACACTCCATGTATTGAAAGACAAAGACAACAGTCGGTGTCGTTTCTGCCCAATAAAACCTGCTTGCCTTTAAGGGGCCAAGACTCCGGTCTAGATTTGCTGCAACAGAAGACAGACTAGCAAGGCTAGCAGGCAGAGAGACTGTAGCTCGGGATGGGGTAGGGAGTGGCATAGCCCTGCAGGGAGAAAATCCCTAGAAGGGTCAGTCCCTAGAAGCATTTGCAGCCAAAGGGAGGCACCGCGGGTGATGAGGGATGGGCACTCTATGCCTGGACCAACCCAGGAAAATGGTGGCCAGCCAAAGCACAGCATCCCCCTGACCAAACTGTATGTGGGGATCAAGCAAAGGAAGGGGGCTTCATTGTCTGTCACTAAACCTTGGTTCACTCATTCACAGGAATGACTGCTCTGACATTTTCTCCATTTTTGGTAAACAATGTATGTCTAGCCATTCCTGCACAACTGGGAAACAGTGGCTTTAGAAAGCTCCCATTGCGTTGCTCATCAGTTGATGAGGAACATTTATACTTAAGTTATATTTGCTGTTGGAAAAAGCACCACACCCGTCATGCAGCGCTTAGCATCACATGTCCTGTTGCACAACCTCACGTGTGTTTCATTCTGCATAAAACCCTTATATCATCCATGAAGCACTGATGCCACACCATGTTGCCATCTATACACAAATGATAAAATGTATTTGAGCATCCAGATGTTTTGGCCGCATAGAGCTAAAGGTTCAAAGTCGTTTTAGGGCATCAGATGCCAGCCAAAAACAAACTGATGCTCTGATGCCAACTTTGTCTTCCAACCCGCCTTCCTTTCCTCCTCCTCCTTTTTTCTTAAAAGGTAAAAAGGACCCAAACAGGCAGTGGAGGAAGAATGCTAAGACAACTCCAAAATTCAGGTCCTGCATTATATTATATTCCATAATAATTAATAACTGCATACCGTCAAGTAAAATCTGACTTTTGGCGACCCCTTCCAGGGTTTTCCATGTAGAGAATACACAGAAGTGGTTTCCCATTCCCTTCTTCTGCAGGCCACCCAAGGCCACACAGGATGGCTCTCCTCGCACGAGACCCAGTAGGAAATCCAACTGTCAACCCCTGGCTCAGCAGCTGGAGACCTGTCCCACTGACTTATCCAGCCAGCTTATATTACAGAAACGGATGTAAATCCAACAGGAAAAGGATGCCGCCATACAGAGGCTCACCTCACATCAATGGTCCTTCCAGGTCCCAAGCAGGAAACCTGAGCTCTTTTCCCAGCCGTGCCACTGGTTAACTGCAAGGGGTGAGCTCCGCTCTAAGATGGGCTCTGACCCCACCCCCAAGACCACCACCCCATGCCATGCAGCATCAGAGGAAAGCAATCTGGATGGGCACCCCTGGCTTGCCCTCACATGTGAGTGTTGCATTACTAGCCTGCTTCTCGGTTCAGGTGCAACACGAGGCTCGTGAGCTCCCTTCTCAACTGCCACTTCTTCCAGCAGCAAGCATCGGAAACACTTTCCTTTCCCAGGTGAAATATGTGCCATCTAGACTCCAGCAGGCATCAAGCAATTAGAGAGGTGGAGAGCCAAGCCTCCCGGCTGTTAATGGAAATGCCACATGCAGGAAACATTTCGCAATCAAGAGCCAAGTAAACTGGAACTGAGGTTGCTTTGAGCCAGAGCAATTCAATCTGGCAATTTGTGAAAGGGGCAACTCAGCTTTCCTGAGACTCAGAGAGAATCCAGTGAAAGAGAGATGTGTGTTTGATGCATGCAAAACCTGCTGGTCAAAACAGCCACCTCTTCTGACCAAGCCACGTGTGGGAATGCAGCAAACAAGGGAAGAGGCTTGGTAGTAGTTTTGTGGCCAGTCTGTGCATTTGTGTTTGTAGAGAGGAGGTACATGTGACAGCCGGTGAGGAGGAAGGAGAGCTAAGGGACACATCAGCCACAGTCATGATCAGATCCAGGGTGGACAGATGGACTCTGACATCCCCTCCTTGGGCAAGGCTTGACATTATCCCAAGAGCATGCCATGTCAGCAGGCCTTAATTGCATTTTGGCTCAAGAAAGGGCACAGAGCCCTTGGTTCCTAATTGCAGCATCTCAGCAGACGCAGCAGACACATCCAACCAGCCAGTCCCTCCTGCCTTTGAACAGTGCTGCTCTTCTAGTGCGGCCACTGTGAGTGAGGGCAGGGCTTCTGTCAATTTGGCAGCTTAAGGCAACCTGCAGACTTCAACTTACAAATACCGACTTGGCTTCTTGGCCAGTTATTATTCATGGTTGCCAAATGGAGCTCCGTTGAGCTCTCTGTGGTTGGTGAGGGACCTGGCAGTCGGGGAGCATCGTCTCCCATATTTCCAAGGTTAATTTATTTATTTATTTGATTTGTAACCCACCCATCTGGTCTATAAGACCACTCTAAGGAAAGGGTTAGTACATTTCAGACACACCAGAAATATTTGATGGTGCTGATGATGACGCAAAGACAAAAGGCTTGGTACAGCATCTCTTCCATCTATCCCAGGAGGTTGAACTTCAGAAGAAATGGGGAAGATCAAAAGGATGTGAGAACTGATTGACAAAGCTATAGAGGATGGAGAGAAGAAAGACAGAAGGGAAGAAGGGACTGTCTCAAAACAGTCACCCATGGAAAGGGCCCATGAAGCAGCCTGCACAAAGGAGACTCTGTCCCACAAGGAGCAGGCTAACAAAACGAGTAACATCACGTCTCTTGGATGACAACCCACCTTCCCTGCTGCACCATACAAACCTTGAAGGGGCTTTCAGGGTGTGTGGCATTTTTGCAGCAGATGAGAAACAGGGCAAAGGAAGTTTCCTTGTTACTCTCTGCCCAGATGCGCTGCCCAGAGACATGGACAGAGTCCTCCTTTCATGTGACAGACTTATCAGCAAAAGGCAGGCAGCCCACCTGGAAGGACCAGGCCTTAGCCAGCCGAGTAACAACGCCTCCCTCCCTCCCTCCTCCCTCCCTCCCTCAGGCTGCTGGGCTTTCCAGAGGCATTCTGCTGGCTTACAAGGGGCCACAGAGCTTTGGGCGATGTGGGTCTTGCCTCAGAAAGGCAATTCATATTTTCCAGCTGGCCCCTCTCGCTTCCTTCTGCCTGTTCCCTGAAGTGTTCCCTTCACTGCAAGCTGCCCAGCCCTGATCTGCACGCTACCTCGGAGAGAGAACCAGAAGCTATAATCAATAGGACAAACAGCCTGACGATTCTGGTGCAAGCAGCAGTGGGTTGTCTGCCACAGTCCTTCCAGAGAGAGTCTGGCATGATGGGGCAGCAGCAGGGGGAGGCTTCCTTAACTGGCAAATGCCTTTCCCACCAACAGTCAAGATAATCTTGATTCCAGTTCTGAAAGTTTTTTCAAAGAATGACTGGTTTGGGGTCTTAGTTCCTGGGGAGAATGCCTTCCACCTTCATTCCTTTCATTTGACCAGGAAGTGCTCTGGAATTCAGTCAGAGTGGCCTCTTCATCAATGATGCATTTGCCTGAGAGTATCCTCAGTAGCCATCCCCTCCCTTCCCTTCTTCCTTCCACCAGGTGTATTGGAAGGTCCAGCATGGCCATGTCTGCTGGCCTGCCCCTTCTTGCCAAGAGCATCAGGGAGAGTCAAAATGGAAGGAGAGATTCTGAACAGTCACTCTGCATCACAGCAGCCTCTCTAAGGGGACCCCAGTCTTGTAACAAAGATTCCGGAATCAACTTAGGGGCAAACCCTGATGGAGATACAACTCCACACCCCCAGAGTGGCTGCAGAATGGAATTTGTGCAGAGATTCCCATTTTTTCCCTCCTTCCCTCCCTCCTTCCTTCCCTCCCTCTGCTTCTGCACAGCTTCTGTCTCAAGCAATGGGGCCTTTTAAATCTGCATGCATTCAGGGGACTTAACATATGCAAATACTGCTGGCTGATGGAGTGGAGGGGATGAACAGGAGTGTGTGCACATGTGCCCGTCTGCCAGATCTCAGCCCCATAAAGCTCCACAGGCTTGGCCCTGAGCAGCGGTTGTCTTCCAGATCTTCTGAATAGGGAGGTGGAGGGTGGAGGGGCTGGGGGGGATAGAGTCTTCCTAGCAGCATTTAAGGGACAATTTCATGGGCCTCAAGTCCTCTCATTCTGTCAATTAAATCCATCTAGTCAAATATTTCTTCCCCAGAGTGCTGAGGGAAACGATCCCCTGAAAGCTTGTTCTTTTCTTAATTCACCTACCCAGACCCACACCGAACCCACCCAACA